GAGATCTTTTGGAATTATTTCACGCAAAGAAGATAAGAAAAGACATGAAGTAAAGCGTGGTAGATATGTGATCTTTAAATTATCGCCATGAAATTTCTATATTTGATCAAGTTTTTATTGATTGTCCTAACAAAAAAAATATGTTTTAGGGGAAGTAGGATCTGATTGCAAAGCTTCTATACCAATAAGGCTCTTCATTTCATTTTTCAACATTCTAGGACAATTAATGCTTAGTTGTGTAGCCATTAATTTATAGTTTACGAATATTGAAACCCACTTTCTATAGACTTAACTTTTCTCTAGATAGATTTTGTTAAATTTGTGATTTTAGCGAAAGTGTTAGCCTTGTTAAAGATTCCCTAAACAATAGGAACCTTCATTGTTCTTTGTGCCGTTTGCAGTTTATTATGATTTATTCATTCAAGCTTATTTTCTTATAGAAACCATTAACTATGTTATATATTCACCGTGAAAGTGTCAAGTCAAATAGATGAATCTCCGATGAGATACGTTAATAACAAGATGACAAAAAGTTTCCTTTTTTTGATAGTGCTTTCATAAAAATTGTCATATCTCAAAAATGAAACAATAGTTTTTCAGATGACTTAAATAGAAATTCATCAAACATTTGGTTGTATAACTTCTACATAATAAATGTCCAACTCAATATCATTGATTGATTGATTATGATAATTCTTAGTTGACATGAAATAACTGATACATAAAACTTCAAGTTTCACGTTTATTGTACTTTATCTTTGATAAGAATCTCTAGCGAATTGAGAATGGATATTTTTATTTTCAAAATCTTTTTCCCTGATTAAGTTGACGAAATTTTACTATAACAGTTCTAGACGAAAGTAAACGCTTGTTTATCAAATCATATAATTATACGATGTAAATTTTTATTTTTTTTCACTTTGGTTCATATGCAGTATTTTAGCAAATCCAATGAAGAACACAAAGAGAAAAACATCTTTATGGAATGTCTTGTCAGAAAACACGAACGTCGCTTCTTTTTTTTTCTTTTTTCTTGGTCGTTCGCATCAAACAATTTTTGTAGTTGCTACGTTTCTATAGTGCGTTGAAGTTTCATTGGATGCTTCAATTAAAATATTTCTTTTTTTTCCTATTAGTTTGTCATGCGTCGTAGCGTAAACTAACAATATCGTCCTTATTTGATGTTTGCTCAGTAACCTTTCATTCTTTGCTCCTTACCGCGCATTTATATCGTGAATAATTTGTCCTCATGTTTGTTGTATAATCCGAATCTTCTTTTCCTTCAACTTCAACGGCATAGATGCCTGCTACATTGTTGTTCGTGTACATATCATTGATTTTAATAATTAATGATGAGACAAAATTAAGGGACTTGCCATTATTAAAGAACTCTTCTTCATAAAAAGAACAGTATATAAAAGTGATGTAGTTTGACATTTGCACGGAGTACATAGGCGCAGTTCTTCTTGTGAAAGACTGCATCAGAAGAAGCATAAGTATGATGCAATCGATTCAAATTATTAACTTACGTGATTTTTTTCTCTATTTACAGTAGTCCTGTCTTGAAATGGACTCAACAAGAGTTCGAATTTCTTTGAAATTGAATTGATTGACCTGTTCCTCAATATAATCTCTCGTTTGTTTTCTCTCTCTTTCATAATCGCATCGTCTGTAAGTTGGACTGTAACAAGCTCAAGTTTAGATGAAAAAACACTTGAACTTTTCTAATATTTCTGTGTAGTTTTCGAGCAGTATTTATCTGATAAAATTATCTAAAGAAAATGAAAATCTTGTTCTAGTTTGTTCACGTCTTTGTCCATTACAATAACTCAGCAAGATATGGCAAGTGGAAAAAGTGTTGAAGCACTCAAAGGCACTTGGGATCATGTATGTTTATATCGTCTATCTGTATTATTTATATATTTTTTTTTCATTAGGTTAACGATGAAAATATGGACGCGTTTATGAAAGAGATTGGTGTTGGAACAGCTATGCGTATGATGGCCAAAAGTATTAAGCCTCGCATCGTCATCGGTGAACATGGTGGTAAGTGGACGTTGCGATCGGAGAACGCACTCAAAAAGATATCGTTTGAGTTTACGCCCAATGTTGAATTTGATGAAACAACGCCTGATGGACGCGAAGTCAAGGTATATATATATATCTTAGTCTTATCTTCTACTTTCTTCATTCATTCTATTAATTGAAATTCTTTTTAGACAATCGTTCGATTTAAAGACGGTGCGTGGGAACATACAACGCATGACAAGCAGGGAAAAGAATGGATCATGACTCGTTATATAAATGATGAAGGTCAACAACAGATTGTAAGTTACTGTTCGTCTCTTGCAATACCTTAAGTTTGTTTTCTACAGGATATGAAATGTGGTTCAGTGACAGCTCATCGTTGGTTCAAGCGCATCGAGTAGTCATCAATAATTGCAATCAAAACTCGAATTGATATTGTTCTATTTTTATGTGTAGTCCTATATGCATTTATATCTTGTTCGTTGGCTAGTACGACAAACTTGTCAATCAAGTTAGTCGTTGAGTCTAATCGATGAAGTTAACATTGAAATGTTCGAGGCAACGTTCAGAAAGTGAGAAATTTGCAAACATGAGGAATATCAACATTTCACTGTCTTTCAGCAAGTTGTCAATGTTACAGACTTCCTACTTGTTTAATATTAGTCTATTATTTAATCGTAATTATTTTAGAGTTCAACAATTTTAGATCCTTTAATAAATCTTCTAATTAATTTAATATTTGAGCTCTGCTTTACTTTAAAGTATAATGTCCCTAATTTATCGTACCCACTCCATAGAAAGTTATACGGTAGGTCTCTCTTGTTGATCATGGATTATTTCAGTAGGTGTTTTGTTTCTTGTAATTGAAAGTTTCAAAAGAAAACTTGTAAGTTTTAATGATGGGAAAATTGGTAAGGAAATATGAAGTACTACGGTATCTAATATTACACGAAGAAAATGCGTGGCAAATGTAAGAAATGATGAGATGAACGATAAGACGATTATGGTTTATATCAAGAATAAAAGAACATGATAAACAAATGAATAAAAATCATCATTATTTTTATTATCACATTTCAAAATTTTGTCTGAAGAATGTCAAATGTACTCGAGCAAACCGAATATATGCTGATAGACTAGGCTTTTCCAACGCCGACATGTAATGGTTCTCAACAATGACTAAAAGCGCAACTAGAAAAATATAAAGAATTTTTTTAGAAGAATTCATTCAAGATCTTGACAAGACATATAGACGGTAACGAGAGATTGATAGCATTATTGAACAAAGATATTGATCCGAATCTCATAGAGCCACTCATCAATGATGATGTCTTCGCTATTATTCATTCGACTCATATGAAATTGTGAAGATTTTTTATAACATGATTTCAAATACAGAATAAACTTATATCTAATATTGATCAATCAAATTATTGATCAAAATTATCAATATAAGAACCTATATCAAACCGAAGTTTAGTCGCGCAAATTATTATTCTTTGTTTGTAGATATAAAAAATAAAGATTTTGATCATAAGAGAAGACTTTGATATATGAATTAATGGTGCATCGATAATATCTGATTTTTGAGCTATTTTTTGGGAGACCTTTAATAATGACATTAAGGAAACACAAGAAATATGATTTTACCATTGAAAAGGTTTTTTGTTATTGTTTTTGTCGATTATTGAATATTATGGGTGTGGGCATGTGACAAACTATCTTCTCTTTACTCACAACCACATCCTAGTTGAAAGCAAGAAAAAAAACCCACATAACCATAATATGAAAGGATTTCTAATTTTATCTTGGTAACAACTGATTTTTAATCTTAAACTATATTCTCAATTTTATTTTAAAGTACGTATTTCGTTTATTTGTGGGGTGAAAATAAAGTAGATTTCTAGCACATTTCATTCGAACATGACAAGCCGCGACGTTTTGACCAATATTAATGCATTGTAGATTATTATATTAATACGTTGATATAAAATAGGATAAACAACGAAAAGCAATATTTTTCTTGAATGTTTTGACGGAAACATTCAACTCACACTTTTACTTAAAGCAAGATGAAGACGTTTGCTAAAGCCTTGTTATGTTAGTGAAAACTATTATTTATTTTTCTTTCTCGATACTATTATCGTATTAACACTATTGAAACATGGTTGATTATTCAGTCTATTCTGAAAATTTCAATCATGAATAAATAGTGAGAATTTGTGGAGAAAGTTGCAACTGTTTACAGTTACACAAAAGTACATGAAATATACTTCGAGTTTTTTAAATGAATTTTAACTATTTATAGGTAAAACATCCCTAATCGACCGAGTTACAGACAATACATCAATGGTCTGAATATAACTCAAAAAAGAACAATATGATAAAAAAAATAGTCGAAAACAGTGGACCTCGCATTTGTTTTGCACCGGAAGATATATGGTGATGACAACGGAAAAAGGGCTCAAAGCTTTCTGTAAATATAATTCTTTTTTAATGAGAAAAAAGAAACTCCTTTAAAGCATTAGAAGTACTGGCAATGCACTTTTTTGTTCCGAGTGAAAAGGTCATGTATTACTCATATGATCGAGAATCATGACATAAAGCAAAACAAAAAATAATGTTTGTTTCTCCTACAGATTAGCCCATAAAATAAGTTTAATACGCTCCTGTATCCAGACAAAAACTTGACAAGGAAAGAAAAATCAACAGCATAAAATGAATGTTAACATCAGAGGAAAAAAATAATCATTTTGCATTCCTTAGAAAGTTCTTTTATAATAGGTAGAAAAAAGTGCATTTTTTTTCTCGGTTCTGACGTTCGCTAGTCTAACGCGGCATATAAATAGAACAGAAATGAGTGTTGTCGTTACCACATTCAAAACAGAAAAATATGATTAAGACTGTCATTTTCGTGGCTCTAGTAAGTTATTGTTTTTTTTTTCTTTTTATAATATAAAATAAAACTTTTCATGGGATTAAAGGTATGTGTGACCATTTCTTCATCTCGAGATTCTGATTCCCATGAAAACTTTGGTTTTCATTTTCGTCCCGGTAGTCAAACTACATGGTCATCAAAATTATGTCAAAATCAAACTTTAGCTCAATCATATTTGAATTATACCCGACAACTTATAACTACTCTTGAAACAAATGGTTCCTATACTCAAGTTCTTCAGAAACGTGCTCAAGCAATAGCTTACTTAAAAAATGATAATAATACAGAACTTCTTTCATCGAATTGCAGTCAATTTTTTGCTGGTCTCAAAGATGCTCAAAAACTTGATGCACAAGCTCTATTACAACAAAAAAGATACGAAGACAATGCTGTTCGTCTCTACAAACAAATTTTTCAATCACTGCTTGGCTTTCGTTTTGTTTTAGATGATGCTTTCTAAAAATGATTTATTTTTCATATAAAAAACAATTATATATATTTTTCATTTTTTGAACACCAATAAACATGGTACCATCTGTAAAATACTTTACTTGTTAAAGTTATTTGATATAATACTTCTATTGACTGAAGTAAGATGCTAAAGTTTCAACACATTGGTTCGACAAAAAAAAAAGATTTACTTTTTTAACATTTCCAAGGTGTACAGCACTTGAGTTTCATCGAATTTACAAACAGTATTTTACTAATGACTTCTGATAGTTATGTAGAAATCGTAGCTCAATGCTATATCGATCGTTTTTCTTTGGAGTAGTCTCTAAAATCAATGGTGCATTGATTTGCGTTAATTATTAAATTGTCTTCTCAGTCAGATGAAAGACTTTGCAAGTGTAACTTTTGAGCGTATAGTTAAGATGGATTTGAACATTGTCTGCATCGATTAGAGATATTGGGACATTGGCTTTTAGCGTATTCTACAAATTACTTTTAATTAAAAGTAAAAACTTGATATAGAAGTTTTCTCAAAATTGATATCAGTACATTTTCAAGGTTTGGAAAACAAAAATTTTGATTTTAAATCTTCTTACTTTTGAAATTAATTGGACTTGTATGACTTATATTTATGAATCTGACTTAACCATAACTTTTAATTTAAACTACTAGTGACAAAACTAATGTCTATAATCAACATCAGAGAAAAAGTTGTTTAACTCTTTTAAGAAGCAACTTTCAATATATCGTCATTGATGTTTTCTAGAAAGTATGACAATTCTTAGGTACATATCATTTGTCTTATATATATGCCAATGATTTCCCATGTAATTGACAGTAGCGATAAAAAACTGGAGCTATGTAGACACTTAAACCGTTGGCTATCTTCTGACCGTCATGCCACCTCGATATACCGAGCAAGAATTCGCTCATGGTAATACAAGTAATAAATATCAGAAATATTTAACAAGTAATTTCAAAACCGCAATATATGGACTTCACTTCTGCCGGTAGCGCATACGACTTTCGGTCCAGCTATCAACAATTTAGTATATTTCACTAATAAAAATTTTTACAGCGCTATCTATGATAAAGATTTGATCAGATGTGTTTGGAGAGTTTCCTCGGAAACTCAATTAAACATCAACGGAGGAGATATAGTAAACAATTACTTATTTATTATGATGGATTTTTTCGAGCAAGAATCGGTAAGTTACATGAATATATCTAAATCCGTCGATGTTTAATTAAGTTTCCGGAGAAGCTCTCACAACACATCATATGGAATTTTATCTATTACACGCTACACATATATTTTTTCTTACTTGGTAACAGATGAAATTAGTTTCATATTACGAATAATTATACTTAATAGTAGTACTTATTTGCATTATTTGTATGAAAAAAAATATTTGAATAGACTTCTACTGCTGACCAAAAATTCAGTCCATTTGATTGAAACGACTCAAACATATTTCATTCTTTTTTTTAATCGTAGTGCTGTTTATAGTCCATCCTGTATATATCAAATTTAAAACTCAAAATTTTTTATTTGATATACGTTCTCACAGATCAATATCAAAATAATAGCTTATTTAGTCACAAGATGATTAGAAGATTGACGTAACCCAAAATTCATCTAAATTATATTCTCAGTAGCCGAGATCCATAGAATATGATCATTCTATCTCTAAAAAAAACACTCAATTCAAAAGCCTAAAGTCTATTAACATATAAAGATAAACGATACAAATTATCGTGCCTTTAAGAAGCTCATCTAACTATTGCATGTTATGTGAAAGTAACATGTATATATGTATATAAAGATTTTTTCATAGATTTCGAGTCATTTTGAATTTTTTTAATATTTTCAGTTATATAAAGTTGGACAAACATAAAATATATACTTATAAGATTTGAACTAAAGTGAGGGTCAAAAGTCTGGTCCCACTTTTTTGTTTTGCGTCGTGTATTAAACTCCACAAGATTAATTTAATCCAATTATATGTTTGAATAGCAGAGGTCGAGTACTATATACATATACATCTGTTCGATTCGAAAAAATCTTGAATATGAACCAGAATAAGAAAAACCAACTTCGGTACTACGAAAAAAATGACATAAAAAACTACAAAATGATAATAAAAATGTTTGCAAAGCTTTTTGTTGTGGGATAGAAATTTCTTTATACGACTGTCGTAGAGGCTTCGACGGCACATCTTTTAAAAAAATCCAGACGCTATCATTCTCGTAATCCGAGAGACGTTCAAAATATAACAGTCTTCCAAATATTTTCATTATGTTAAATACGGTGGGAAGAAGTACTATCATGCGTTTTCTTTTTATTTTGAGTATAGAATAAACCATAAAAAGAAGTCAGTAGGGTTCGTTTTTACAGTTTTTGTAAAGCTTTTCACGACGCAGCTTTTGAAATAAAAACCAAGATTCTATCTTTGTCTGTGTTGAGAATTTTGCATAACAAACTATTTTGCAAACTTTTGGAACAATCGGTATTTCACAGCATTTAATATTTTGATTATAATACCGTCATTTCTCAATGAAATTCAAAATGTTTTTTTTTTACCAAAATAATCAGCGTAAAAAGCTCTACACAGTCTGATAAAATGGAAAATTTTCTGCATACTTTGTGTTTTTCGTGGTAGACTAACCGTAGAAGTATCCTATAAGATCAATTTTATTTTTTATTTTTTTATGTCATTTATTATTAGTACTCAATCTGTACTATCCAAACATATAATTGGATTGAATTAATCTTGTGCACTTTCAATACACGACTCAAAAGAAAAAACCTGGTGCCAAACTTTTGACCCGCACTGTAGTCAAAAATCACAAAAATTGTTTTTAAATAGAATTTCTAATTTATAGTATGAAATTTTTGAAAAGTCATCCTCCATTGAAGAATTCAAATGTCATGTTTAATAATTTAGATGGCACGATATAATGCTCCATTTCATCAATTACGTATTCAATACAATTCAAATAAAGGCAAAAATTATACTGAAGAAGATGATCGTTTTCTTCTTTGTATGTTACATAAACTTGGATTTGATAAAGAAAATGTTTATGAAGAACTTTGTTATGCTATATGACAATCACCACAATTTCGTTTTGCTTGGTTTCTTAAATCACATACATCAATTGTTCGTATTGAATTGAAATTTATTATACTTTTTACTCTTCTGTTAATTATCTAGTTTAGAAATTACAACGACGTTCAAATACATTAATTACATTTGTTGCACGAGAAAATCAAGAATTAGAAGAACGTGAACGTGCTGAAAAGAAAAAAGGTCGTTCATCAACAAAATAATTCATCATAAAATTCTCAATCAAGACCTATTGCAAAGATTTGTGTTCATTATTTTTAATTGAATTATTTTCTACTTTTTGTTTTTGATTATTTAGATTAATGGTAATCAAAAAAGTAAACCTGATGCATTTGTTGTTGCAGCAAATAGTTCACCTGCTAAAGGAAAAAAGAAGTGGTCTCTCATTTTATTTGTCATATCTTGGCTTAATTCAGATTTTTTCTTTTTTTTTGTAAAAACAAAACCATTAAAGTATAATAATTTTCTTTCTGTCTGTGTGGGTGTGTAATTATTGTTTGTCACCTCTCTTTTTTCCTCATCTTCATTCTTATCGACAAAAAAAGTCGATTAAAAAACTAGTATTTCATGGTTTATTAAAATAAACAAGTCATACATTATGAATATAAAAAGTGATAACATGTGTGTGGCTTCTGATGATTTTGATAAAACGAATAAATCATTATGTTAAAGTAAAGTTTGAAATAAATATGAAAATTTTATGAAGTATAGACCCGTTTCGTTTCTCGTAATGAAATTGAAATAATATCTTGAGAAATTCTATGTTGTTGTTAACGATAATCAGGGCTAAAATAAAGATGTTTATTTATGATATATTGGATGGGAATAAACCGATTGGTTTTGACTTGGAAATGTTACATAAAATATGTTCAATATAAAAATAAAGCTTTCCGGAAATAGCCTAGTTCTTTTTTTTCAAATAAATAAGTATATCAACAATAGAAATGAAAACATGTTCCATGAAATATAAAATATTCGAAAGTGTTTGAATTATAAATGGAATGATCAGAAAATAACGAATGATTCGAAAGTTTCGACCTCTTTTTGCAAATCTACGTTATCAAGGGAAAATACTTAGGGTTATCCAAAAGTAGTGGGCCAGATTCTTTTTTTTCTTATAAATAGCTAAAACGAAATTTCTTTTTTTACGAATAGATAGAGCGTCTTTCGCTCTATATTTCTATGCTATTTGATCAGTATCTAACTAAGATCATAGTAATAAAATTCCGACAAAAACATTTTTAGTGCAACTCTAGCTGGTAGCAATAGTGCATAAAATCATCTACAC